ATGTATTTTTAGAAAGGGCTCCAGAAGCTCAGTGTGTTAGTAAAGGCCTGAAATCCCATACCACTGGAGGTTAGGGCTGGAAGATAATGAATTTGAGAACAGCCTGGACTGTACATAGTGGGATCCTAGGGGGTTGGGGGGGGGGTTAGAATCATTCTGAGATTGCTAAATCAAAACAAGAGGATTAAAACACTGAAACAAATTGGGGAAGATGGCCCACATCTGTAATCCTAGCTACTCAGGAGGATAAGATCTGAGGATTACTGTTTGGAAGCCAAGCCGGCCCAGGCAGGAAAGTCTATGAGACTTATCTCCAATTAATCACAGAAAAAGCCAAAAGTGGCACCCACTGTGGCTCAAGTGGTAGAGTGCTAGCCTTAAGCAAAAGGAGCTCAGGGACAGTGCCCAGGCACAGAGTTCAAGCCCTAGGACCAGCAAAAAAAAATTTTTTTTAAGCCTGAAACAGGGCTGGGAAGGTGGCTCAGTGGTAGAGCGCTTGCCTTGCATGCCTGAGGCCCTGGGTTTGATTCCTCAGTACCACATAAGCAAAAAGAAAAAATTCAGAAGTGGTGCTATGGCTCAAGTGGTAGAGTGCTAGCCTTAAGCTGAAGAGCTGAGGGACAGCGCCTAGGCCCAGAGTTCAGGCCTCACAACTAGACCCCCTCCCCCCCCAAAAAAACAATTAGCCACCAGAAAACCAGAAGTGGCTCAACGTGATAGCACATTAGCCTTGAGCTGAAGAGCTCAGGTACCAGTGTACAAGCCTGAACTTCCAAGTCCCATGACTGACAACAAAAACAAAACAAAAACCAAAAAACTAGGACTTAAGCAGTCAACATTTGAATGTGAGGGGACCTACCATTGCTTCAAAAATGTAAAGGGGATGCCAGGCCCTTATTTATACACTTAATACCTTAACAGACATTCACAGAACACTCATCAGAAGAAGAGAAGAAAAGTGCACTCACGGGCTGTTTCACTCTGAGCTCTCTCCAACAACCATCTTCTATATTGCTAACAATTCCACCTGCCACTGCTGCTCAGTAAAATCATGGCAAACACCCAATGGCAGTTCAACCCCCTTTCCTTTTGCCATAGTACGTGTGTGAGTATAACTCCACGCATCAGCTTCCTGTTCTTTTTAACTCTTACTAAACCTGTAGGAAAACCCAGGTGGCCTTCCTTCACCTCCTGAGCCCTATTCATATTGGGACAAAAGAAAACAAAAATACTCCTGCACTCACAGAGAAATAAACGAAATGAATGTAAACTGCCCAAGACAGTTCCCCCCCCCCTCTCTCACAGACACCACCATTTTGCAGAATAACTCTCCTTGGATCTTTTCCCCCTCTTCCCAAGACCATATGTGTATGTATATATGGTGTGTGTGTGTGTGTGTGTGTGTGTTCATTCCAGCCCACAACACAGTTCCATTCATACGATCTTATGATGATGGTTGGGCGGGGGGAGGGCGGGGGCTGAGAAAAGATGGGTCACCATAAAACCAAACTCCTAACGGGACGCCGGGGGCTCACGCCTGCAAATCCTACGGAAGAGGAGGCTCAGATCTGCAGATCGCGGTTCAAAGCCAGCTTGGGAAGTGAGGTCCGTGACCCTTACCTCCAATGAACCATTAAGAAAAAAACAGCCGGAAGTCGAGCTGTCTCTCTCAAAGTGGCAGAACCTTAGCCTTGAGCAAAAAAAAAAAAAAAGCCACCTCAGAGACAGCCCGCAGGCCCCCGAGTTCGAGCCCCAAGACCTGCACAAAACAAGACAAAAAACTCCTAAAGCAAACACAAAACCAAAACCACCATCTGGAACGCCACAAGCCTGGCTGCACTGGAGTCCGCTCGAGGCAAGGCCCGGGGAGGGGACGGCAGGGGCCGGGGCGACGCGGGCCCCGCGGGCCTGGGGACTCCACCGGAGCGCCCGAAAAGCGCTTCGAAGCCCTGGGTCCCAATCATTCCGAACACATCGCCCTGCGTTCCCCCGGCGCTGCTTCAAACCTCCGCGAAAGCTCCACATCCCCAAACAAACAAATAAACAAACAAAACCACCTCAGCAGCCGACGCCGACCCCAGCCGCCCGGACCGTGGCGGGCGCGCACGCACGCGCGCTCCCCTGACGTCATCCTCGCGCGACCCCTCCCAAACTAGGAAGCTGATTGGTCCACGGGGCTGGGAGGGGGCGTGGCCGGATGGGGTGGGTGGG